ATTTTTTATATACGAAATGCATTATGTTGGTATGATAACGACAACACGAGATGAAAATAAAGTAAGTAATATTTTTTATCATTTAGTATCATTTATTTTCATTTATTATTGTTATTACATACATTTCTCATCGTACTGTAACTAAAACAGAACTCAAGAGAAACACAGACGAGAATAATATGATAAAGTAAGGAATTAAACAGACCTTAAGTAACGGGAAATATTATAACGAAGGAAAATTAGATAAATAAAATGATTTAGCGGAGTGATAATAATTTAGTGAGATAATTTTTTTTTCCTTTTTTTTTCGTGTACGAAGGAAGAGATAATGTGTGAAAGATGAATGAAAAGAATAATACATACATACATACATACACACATATATACATACAAACACATAAACACATACAGTACACTAGCAAACAAAACATAAAGGCAACTGTTATAAAAGGCAAAAGAGGAAAAACGAACAAGCGACAGTAATAGGAGTGGGTATGAGAGGTGAATAAAAAAATAAAAAATAAAAAAAATTGAAGAGTTTAATATATTCGAGTATAATAGAGAGATGTGTGTGTGTGTGTGTGTGTGTGTGTGTGTGTGTGATTCCTTTAACTGGTATGAAGAATCGATTATACTGTTTCCCTTTCTCTCCTCCTCCTCTCCTCCCCCGCCACCCCCCATCTGCTCATTCTTCTCCCACCACTCACACCACTTCCATCTTACCACCTCCCCACCACCACCACCACCTCACCTCCCTCACCGCCCTGCCCGCCCAGCTAATTTACAACATCCGCTACCAGGGGCAGACACTAGCACGAGATACCTTATAATAAACACGTCGAGCCCAACACTCAGGTGTGTGGTGACGCGTGCCGCCCCTCCCCACTCTGACCCCTCCTCCCTCCCTACCTCTCCTCCTTCCCCACCCCTCCTCCTCCTCCTTTCCCATCACCCCCCCCCCCTTCTCACCCCTTTACTCCCTTCCCTCCCCTCATCCCCATCCCCACCCCTTTAACCCCTCATCCCCTCATCCCCATCCCCTCCTCACCCCTTTAACCCCTCATCCCCCTACCCTCCCCTCACTCCCCTACCCCCCCCTTCCCACACCTGCCATACTTAAACAATCGTACCCTAGTTTTCCTCCCTCACCTAAAGCATCGGGTTGCGGTGTGGTCTCAGTTCAATTTGGATATCATATTTTTGTTAACTTTATTTGTTCATGTCATTCATTAAATGTGTTGTATGTGTTGTTATATATTTCACTCTGTTTATGTTGGACTGACTCGTGTATCAAGTTCCCCCCACTTTTTTTTCGTAGCCTGGATATGTGAGAACTCGTTTAATATTAGTTAAGTAAAACAGTGACGCATATATGGCGGCCATAATGAGGTTGAAATTGCACTGAGGCGCTCCTGTAACTTTGTTTCTGTCAGGGGGAAAACAGAGAGGAATGTGTGAAACTGTGGTGTGGTGGTGTGGTGTGGTGTGTGGCGTGGTGTGTGGTAGTGTAGAGGTGTGGTAGTGTGGTAGTGCAGTGTAGTTATGTTGTGTGGTGTGGTGTGGTGTCGTGTGGTGGTGTCGCTGAGAGACCCACAACACAGGGCCTCAGGAGAGCTGGTGGCTGGCGGCGTCTCACCACCACAATCATTGATCTTAATGACGGGATGTACCTTATCCGGAATAGCCAGTTAATCCCCCTAATAATGAATTCAAACGATGCGATTACAGATGTTGCGAGGTGAGAGAGATGTAAAAAACCGCAGGAGCTATTACTGAGAGCGGGTGTTGGGCGTGTGGCCGCGGGTGGGGCTGGCTGGCACACGCCCGCGTAATGTCCAGCATCCGGTCGCTCCGTGGTGGGGTGAGGACCTTGACCCTGCTCAACGACCAGATAATTACGGCTCTACCGGCCCACCGCTCCTCCTGATGGATCGTTAGCGCGTGGAGCTTCACTAACAAGGCAATCATCCAATTAACACGTCCTCAATCACGGTCATCGTTAGAAAGCCTGGCACACAAAGAGGTTGTTAGGGAGTAATGACGTGTGGCTGTTGACAACTTCTACAAGTATACAAACGAGAGATCATATAAATTTCCTCTCTAGATAAACAAGGAAGCTTATTAACTACCTACTCAGGTCCTAATCGGGTAAACAATGCGACCTGTTTAGAGTTGATCAGATTAATTAGACGAAGACACCTCAGGCGGGTGTAAATGTGGTAATGTGGTCTCTCTAACCACAGTAACTGGTGGAGAACCCCTCCCCCCCCCCCACACACACGTATAAATTTCACGTGAGACACATTCACACGTCCGCCTGACTCACTTTAATTGTCGTTTACTGTTCCTTCAGAGGAATACCAACTCAACGAGATAATGACTTAACCACTGAATGAAGTGGGGGATTCCCCCTCACACCATCCTAAGACCTTCTCCCCATCTTGCACCCCCCCCCCCGTCCTCATCCTCCATCCTACCTGAGAGCACAGCTTTCATTTCATTTTACGCCCCCCATTCTCTATCCTACCTCATGAGCCGGAAGGGAGAGACTGGAAGGAGAGGGAGAAGGGAAAAAAGAAAAGAAAGAGGTGAAGGATTGGAAGGAAAGAAGAAAGGTGGGTAAGAAAGAGGAGGAAGATGGGAGAGAATGAGTCAGAAGGGGTCGAACGAGGAGGAGGAGGAGGAGGAGGAGGAGGAGGACCTGGGCGGGTTTATCGGATGCCAGCTGTTGTGTGTTCTCCACGTGGACTCCGTCAGTGTGAATCTTCATAATGTAACACCCAGAAGCCACCTGACCCACCCAATTAACCAAGCAGCCTGGTCTATCAGATAACAGTTAAGGGAAGCTACGAGGCCAGTAAGTAGTTTTAACAATTACTGCGACCGCCTGTGACCTGAGGGCTCTTACAAATGGCATGGTGAGAGAGAGAGCGAGCGTGGCAAAGATGAATGGCTTCCGGTCCTCCGCCACACAGATTCGAATGCCATATTGGGGTGACGAAGAGCGGGTTTTATGTGGGATTTAAACGGCACGGAATGTTCAACAAGTGCGATGACTTAATGGGATGTTTTGGTGACCTTCCCACCCTTCACCTCCCCTTAATATCTCAATCCTCGTACTAAAGAGCGCGCGCGCGCGCGTGTGTGTGTGTGTGTGTGTGTGTGTGTGTGTGTGTGTGTGTGTGTGTGTGTGTGTGTGTGTGTGCGTGTGTGTGTGTTGGGGAATGTTTTGATAGTGATACTAGTTCATTATGAGGTGACTATGTATGAAATGAGGTACTCACACACACACACACACACACACACACACACACGTACACACGGATCCAGAGCTGTCTCACCTACCAGTTTTTCCCAGCCTTCACTAGTTCACCTAGAAATGTATCATAAAAAGCTCAACAAGGAGACTCGCATTCCAAGTGTCCATTTATTCTCCTGGTCCAGCGCCCGGGTCCCGTGTCTTATGAGACTGCGTCGTTCTGGTGCTTCGTGAGCTCGACCGGTACTTTTGGAGTTCGAGCCGTGATTCGTGGGCTCGATTGGTAGTTTGTGGGTTCGATTAGTGGTTCATGGATTTGGTTAGTGATTCGTGGGTTCGACTGCTGGTTCATGGGTTTCTTTGGCGGTTCATGGGTTTGGTTGGTGGTGCATGGGTTCGATTGATAGTTCGTTGATTCGATTGGTGCTTTGTGGATCGGCTGGTCTGCCTCTTGTGGTGTTAAGACCTTATAGGTTTCTTGCGGTTCGTTGATTCGCATTCGTGGTTTTAGTTCGGAGTTTATCACCCTCTTGCGGTTTCCAAGTTCATTTTGATGGTTTCGAATGAGTCTGCTTCATTCCAGAGGTTCGCGGTTAAGGAGGTTCACTTTTGTGGTTTTGCTGTCACTTAATAAATTCTTTGTATGTGAGTCTGATTGTTTGGAGATGGAAGGTTTAAAGGTTTAAGTTTCGAAAGGTCTTAAAGGTTCACTCTCTAAGTTTGGGGGGATTTAAAGGTTTTTTCAGGGTATGTCGGTTCATTTGGAGGGTTCTTGTGGCTTGAGGATTCATAAGGTTCAATTTGGTGATTTGGAATGATGATTGGCGAGGAGAGAGGAGAGCTTGATTCATCTTACACACTCGCTGAGAGAGAGAGAGAGAGAGAGAGAGAGAGAGAGAGAGAGAGAGAGAGAGAGAGAGAGTCTCTTTTCAGTTTTGTGTGAGACAATATGACACAACGGACGAAGGATTTTGACAACCCTACCGAGACAACAGGAGTAGCAGTGTTCATTTGGAAATTCATCGGACCCCTTACTCACTCAAGATACTTTTGGGAACGAGTGTGCGTCCATTAATCTCTCTCTCTCTCTCTCTCTCTCTCTCTCTCTCTCTCTCTCTCTCTCTCTGCTTAAACAGGTACAAAACTACCTCTCAGGTGTTCACATACCGTTAACTTGTAATACAGGTTTGTAAAGGTAAAGCACCACTAGTATTTATTCACCGTGTTTCTCTGTTACTCTGCCCTGTACTGCTGTTAACGGGTGACTTGGTATTAACATATTACTCGAGGCTTTACTGTTAACGGTAAGGTTACGCTCGGTGCATCTCTTTTATTGGTCGATTATTGTGTTTGTGACATAAGTAACGCATTTGTCACGGTAACGTATATGTGTTATTAGTTGACGTATGTAAACTTCCAGTAACACTTCACTTCTAATTCCCCTCGTGTAGCACTAAGTAACACATCTGTAACAGTAGCTCTCGTGTAGCGTTCAGAAATACTAACGGAAAGTTGGTTACAGAATAATAAAGGTAACATGTGACTGACATTTTGAACACATATGTAACATTAAGTAACATACGTGTGATATTTAGTAACTTAAGAAATCATTTGTGTGACAGTAATTAGACGACGTAACACATATAAGACAGGTGTAACACATAGTAAGATAGGTGTAACACATAGTAATACAGGTGTAACACATAGTAATACAGGTGTAACACTCAGTAGTAACACTCACCTGCTGGACGCCTTGGAGACGAGCTTCTCCACCTGCATCGTGGTGGTAAGCACCCTGTAAGAGTAAGAGGTAACGTTAGTGATGGTGGTAGTGATGGTGATAGTGGTGGTGGTAGTGGTGATGGTATTAATGGTAGAAGTAGTGGTAGTAGCAGCAGTAGTAGTAGTATCACGAAATATGATAAATAATTAATGTTTGTTCTCTGTTGTAAGTTATTCCACTCGACTAATCTCTCTCTCTCTCTCTCTCTCTCTCTCTCTCTCTCTCTCTCTCTCTCTCATACTGCTAGTTTTAGTCATCTCCGGAATTTAAGTGGAATTGAAACTCACCTGTGTGTGTGTGAGGGGGCGAGAACCCTGTCACCTAAACATCAGCTAATTGGCCCAAAACTTTGCAACTTTAATGAGAGTCGTGAATGAGAGGGTTACTACTGCCTATACCTTACCTATCTCACCTCCTACAGTGCCCCTTTCCCTACTCTTCTACCCTTGCCCTTAGCCCTCTTTACCCCTTTTCTCTACCTCTTTGCCCTTACCTCTTCTCCTCTCTACTTCTCTTTGCCACACCACCCCAACCTTTGTTGCCTACGAGAAAACAATCCTACCAGGGAGATGGCAATGAGAGAGAGAGAGAGAGAGGATGCACGCTGGAACTGTGGCATAATTCAACGTTGGAGATTTTTCAACACCGTGACACACACACACACACATACACACACACACACACACACGCACACTACCACCAATCTTGCGTTAAGCCATTAGCCAATCACTGAACACGACGAGGGAGAAGTTCTTTTACGAGTAAGGGTGTGTGTGTGTGTGTGTGTGTGTGTGTGTGTGTGTGTGTGTGTGTGTGTGTGTGAGAGAGAGAGAGAGAGAGACGTGTTGACTGGGATTTTAACGGAGGAGCTAACGAGGGCGGACACTGTATGGTTAGGTTAAGTTAGGTTAGCTTATTGTAGTACCTGAGGAAGTTACACGCTGGGATAACAGAGAGTTGACGTATGTTCTGTGTAATCCTTCGCTGTTTTGTTTTGGCTTCATTTTTTTTTGCAATTATCTAGGTATGGCATTGAGCTGTGGTATATTCTTTTACTATATTCTTTTACTATATTCTTTTACTATATTCTTTTACTATATTCTTTTACTATATTCTTTTACTATATTCTTTTACTATATTCTTTCACTGTATTCTTTTACTATATTCTTTCACTATATTCTTTTACTATATTCTTTTACTATATTATTTTACTATATTCTTTCACTATATTATTTTACTATATCCTTTTACTATATTCTTTTACTATATTCTTTTACTATATTCTTTTACTATATTCTTTTACTATATTCTTTTACTATATTCTTTTACTATAGTCTTTCACTATATTCTTTTACTATATTCTTTTACTATATTCTTTCACTATATTCTTTTACTATATTCTTTCACTATATTCTTTTACTCTATCCTTTTACTATATTCTTTTACTATATTCTTTTACTATATTCTTTTACTATTTTCTTTTACTATATTATTTTACTATATTTTTTGCTATATTCTTTTACTATATTCTTTCACTATATTCTTTTACTATATCCTTTTACTATATTCTTTTACTATATTCTTTTACTATATTCTTTTACTATATTCTTTTACTATATTCTTTTACTATATTCTTTTACTATAGTCTTTCACTATATTCTTTTACTATATTCTTTTACTATATTCTTTCACTATATTCTTTTACTATATTCTTTCACTATATTCTTTTACTCTATCCTTTTACTATATTCTTTTACTATATTCTTTTACTATATTCTTTTACTATATTCTTTTACTATATTCTTTTACTATATTCTTTTACTATATTCTTTTACTATATTCTTTCACTATATTCTTTTACTCTATCCTTTTACTATATTCTTTTACTATATTCTTTTACTATATTCTTTTACTATATTCTTTCACTATATTCTTTTACTCTATCCTTTTACTATATTCTTTTACTATATTCTTTTACTATATTATTTTACTATATTTTTTGCTATATTTTTTCTATATCCGTGTAAGTTAGGGAGTTATATATTTTGTGTTCTGTATACGTCTACCCTGACGTTTAATTTCAATATACAAGTGACGCTAACTACTGTAGGAATGATCACTGATTAAGTTATACAAAACAACTGAAGTTTTTTGCCAGAATAGGATATTTTTTGTGTTTACTACTGCAACGTAAAGGAAATTAATTCGTAGTTGTGTTGTGTCGGTTCGTTTTGTGTTGTGTCGTGTTGTGTAGGTTTTGTGTCGTGTTGTGTAGTTTTTGTGTCGTGTTGTGTCGTGTTGTGTAGGTTTTGTGTCGTGTTGTGTCGTGTAGGTTTTGTGTCGTGTTGTGTCGTGTTGTGTTGTGTCGTGTTGTGTCGGTTCGTTTTGTGTTGTGTCGTGTTGTGTTGTGTCGTGTTGTGTCGTGTTGTGTTGTGTCATGTTGTGCTGTGTCATGTGACTTTCTTGTTGGTATACAAGAAATGTTCACCTGTGCGACTCACCTGTACCTGCCACTGGATTACCTTCATTAAGATAAAGATACAGGTTAATTTATTTATTGTTCGGTAATGTTTACAGTTTAGTGGTGTGTCGTTGTTGATGTTGCTGTAAGGGAGAAAATAATTTTACTTTACCAAATTGACTGTTTGTTTTTTAGTGTGTGTGTGTGTGTGTGTGTGTTCAGGGAAAGTGTCTGTAGAATATAAACTCCATAAAAATAAACCTTATACAGTTGAAATACTGTGATATGTGATTCGATTCCTTATGTAGATGCTCATTTGTTTATGGCAGCATGGATCACTTGTGGCATCTATAACCTCTTCATAAAGTATTGAATGGCAAAAAACAGGATTTAAATTTCTTTGTAGATATTATTATTATTTTTTAAACCATATGAATCTTGAAGCCAAAGTTGTGTATACAGGAGTAAACAAGCCCTCAGCCGCCTCTCACTCCGACGAATAATAAGACGTCACCTTTGATATGTGAGTAAAACAGGAAGTTCCCATCACTGATCATTACCAAATTCCTACTAAATTAGACTTAAATCAATAATTGGTTTGTTTTAATCCCCCTGAAGTCTATAACTGTACTTAGGTGTGTATGTTTACTTTTGTTGTGTAAATGATCTCATCTCACTGTCGGCGGGAGGTAATTGACGCCATAATTGACATTTACGCTCAATGGTATCGGATATTTGGCAAAAGGTGTCATGCTGTATTGGTAACACTGAACACCAACATCATCTCGTGTATTACTCGTGATTGTTGCAGTGATCGCGTGTAGAGAACATGGGTGAAGTAAACGGTTCTGTGGCCACTTTCACACATCGTATTTTCTTGCCTATTTGTTTCTTTTTATCCAAATATACCTACAAGGTTAGGTTAGGTTAGGTTAGGTTAGGTTAGGTTAGGTTAGGTTAGGTTAGGTTGATACTATAAAATGAAAACTCCTTTCCATATCTCCTGAGCTTTTATTTTTTATTGACTTCAGACTAGTGGAAATGTAACGAGAAAATGCCACCTTTATAAGTACTGTACTTGATTGCTGTGCAGGTATACAAACAGTGTACCTAGACAGTGCAGGTATACAAACAGTGTACCTAGACAGTGCAGGTATACAAACAGTGTACCTAGACAGTGCAGGTATACAAACAATGTACCTAGACAGTGCAGGTATACAAACAATGTACCTAGACAGTGCAGGTATACAAACAGTGTACCTAGACAGTGCAGGTATACAAACAGTGTACCTAGACAGTGCAGGTATACAAACAGTGTACCTAGACAGTGCAGGTATACAAACATGTACCTAGACAGTGCAGGTAAACAAACAATGTACCTACACAGTGCAGGTATACAAACAATGTACCTAGACAGTGCAGGTATACAAACAATGTACCTAGACAGTGCAGGTATACAAACAATGTACCTAGACAGTGCAGGTATACAAACAATGTACCTAGACAGTGCAGGTATACAAACAATGTACCTAGACAGTGCAGGTATACAAACAATGTACCTAGACAGTGCAGGTATACAAACAATGTACCTAGACAGTGCAGGTATACAAACAATGTACCTAGACAGTGCAGGTATACAAACAATGTACCTAGACAGTGCAGGTATACAAACAATGTACCTAGACAGTGCAGGTATACAAACAATGTACCTAGACAGTGCAGGTATACAAACAATGTACCTAGACAGTGCAGGTATACAAACAATGTACCTAGACAGTGCAGGTATACAAACAATGTACCTAGACAGTGCAGGTATACAAACAATGTACCTAGACAGTGAGGTATACAAACAATGTACCTAGACAGTGCAGGTATACAAACAATGTACCTAGACAGTGCAGGTATACAAACAATGTACCTAGACAGTGCAGGTATACAAACAATGTACCTAGACAGTGCAGGTATACAAACAATGTACCTAGACAGTGCAGGTATACAAACAATGTACCTAGACAGTGCAGGTATACAAACAATGTACCCAGACAGTGCAGGTATACAAACAATGTACCTAGACAGTGCAGGTATACAAACAATGTACCTAGACAGTGCAGGTATACAAGCAATGTACCTAAACAGTGAAGGTATACAAGCAATGTACCTAAACAGTGCAGGTATTCAAACAATGTACCTAAACAGTGAAGGTATACAAGCAATGTACCTAGACAGTGCAGGTATACAAACAATGTACCTAAACAGTGAAGGTATACAAGCAATGTACCTAAACAGTGCAGGTATACAAACAATGTACCTAAACAGTGTAGGTATTCAAACAATGTACCTAGACAGTGTATGTATACAAACAATGTACCTAGACAGTGCAGGTATACAAACAATGTACCTAAACAGTGAAGGTATACAAGCAATGTACCTAAACAGTGCAGGTATACAAGCAATGTACCTAAACAGTGCAGGTATACAAACAATGTACCTAAACAGTGAAGGTATACAAGCAATGTACCTAAACAGTGCAGGTATACAAACAATGTACCTAGACAGTGCAGGTAT